TCTTTGGTTTTACATTATAACTTCTATATGATATCTTTCTAAAACCAATCTATTTACATATTTTGATTGTCTTTCTCATATTTGTATACAATTATTTAATATGATTCCAAGTTAATGCATGCAATGATGCAATTGGCGCAAATCTCATTAGATGTGATGTTAGATTTTGATCACTGAACGTGAAAATTTAAAAATAAAAAAATGTCTTAAATTACTGAAAGTTAACTCATATCTTGTAAAGTCAAGTTAATGTCTTCATAGTTAGTTATGTTAGCATAATTTTGTCATGATACAAGAAAGCTTATCATAGTTTTTTGTGACTCTAACTTACAATATTTGAGTAAACTTTGTTTGTATTTCTGTGATGAATGAAATGAATCACAACTTTATTTTATGTTGATGAGTGATTCTCTCTCTTTCATTATATATAAAAAAAATTGACAAGAGACTGCTATGATTGTGATCCATAGATTGATTGTGGCCATTGATTTCAGCAAACTATTGAATGCAATTACTTTGTGAGCAATTTGACAAATGCATATCTTGAACTTCCATCAAGAGTGGATTTTCACTGCTTGTTTGTTTGTTTCTTTGTTGTACACATTATTTTAAAGGGATTTTGATTTCTAACTGCATTTTTGTTGAAATTAGAGAGTCTGCGTGTACAAGGATGCAACCTTTTCTACCTTTTTTATTCAACCTTTTCTTTCTACAATGATCTTAGATACAAATGACTATATTATATATTTTTTCCTTGGTTGTAATTTTTCATGACTAATTTTAAATATGATGTGAGTATAGTGGAATTGCTAATTTAAAGGCTTGTAAGTAGCTACTCAAATCTAGATTTTGTTAATTAGAAGTAGAATGAGAATTGAATTGCGACGATGGAGTTTATGAAATTTGTTGATCTTGCTTGGACGAAGTGTGTTTTGCAAAATTTGAATTTCATACTTGGAGATCCCATAATTGAGAATTTTTATTTATTTCATAGTTTTAATCTTGTTCTCTTGTTCTAAAGTTTACTTGAAGTTTAGAATTTTCAACTCTATTTAAAAAATTGCATGGATTGTTGAAAATGAATATAGTTATAAATCTCCTAGATCATAATTTGTATACGATGATTGAATTTAAGTGAAAGAATTGAACTTGGATAACATTAAGGTGATAAATAGAAATAAATGTATAAAAGAAATTACAAATTTATGATACCACATTTTTGATGGCATAACTTAAATTTTTTTGATGTTTATTAGATAAATGATTCTAATATTAAGGCAAGATGCAAAAATCTGAGTGTAGGAATTAAGGTTCAGATTTTGTTATATAATATAAATATTTATTACATTAGATAAATTTTATTGATCCTTGGATTCTAGAAATTTGAACTTGTTTTTGAACTAACATTTTCATGGAGAAAAAAGAGTTGATATTTCAAAATGCTTATCAAAATTTTAAAAAAATGAAAAAAATGAAGAATAAATAAGTTTTAATTTTATCAACTTACCTTCACTTTCGTCAATAACTTATTATTGAATGGAAAGATTATTGTGTAAATTTTTTTAATTTATTTATACATATGAATAAAAAGAAAATAAAAATATTCACAATTTGAAAAAATGAAATGATTATCATGATGCCTAAAACAATTGATTCTAACAAAGTTCAATCCGATAAATATGATGATATAATGCTTTTAAAGAGAACTCAAAATCAAGTTTAGAGGTATATGTTTAAACAAGATATTGAAACATAATACTTCATTTGTTATGAAGAAGACTTGGAAAAACTTTAAACTTGAATTATGAGTATTTTTTTACATAAGAACATATTTCAAAGACCTATTTTTACTATTATATATATAATATTTCAATTTAAATCAAGTTGAAAAAAAACAATAATCATTTATTGTTATATGCTTGTCGTAAAAATTTGACAAATGAACTATAAGTTTTATTGAAATTGATGAACATACGGATAAAAATGTTTATAAAAATACAATGATATATAATAAATGCTTTTCAAATTAAAATAGAGTGTAAATGATCAAAGCAAGGTTGTAATTCTCAAGTTCATTCTTTGCTTTGTAGAATATAATGACTTTTGTATGTGTTTTTTTATTAAGATTGACAAAACATCACTCTTATTAATAAATGTCAAGTGTGTTTCATTTACAACAAAAAATGATGATGAAATCAGAACACACTTTTTTTCTGCTTTGGCATTGAATGTGATTTGTAGACGTTCATATTGAAAATAATCAAGAAGTTTGGATCTAAAACATAATTTAAATATAAGATTATATTTTAAAATAAAGATATGATAACATGTTGGAAATATGACAAGAATGACTATTTAATAAAAAATTTTATGTGACAATCAAGACTATTGATGTTTTGAAACCAATGAAGATCAATAAACATAGAGAGCGTCTAGTTATCCCTCGCTTAGGGCTAATTAGCCCCCACTCTACTATACGCAGTTCTTTTAGTAATCGATGCAAGGTAATAGCAAATGCATGGTAGTAGGGATGAAGTAGCAACTATAGGGTGTTGAACCAATAACATAAGAACGTATAGTAAGGTGAAGGCTAATTAGCCATAAGTGAGGGATAACTAGCCCCTCCCTAATATAATGCTAAAGAGATGATTTGATTGGCAATAAATATGAAATCAAAGATTTACTCTATGCAATTTATCAAAGAGTTTATGGTAGATGGATTTGTATTTGTTTCAATATTTGTACTAAATTACTAATACTGTAATGTATTCAAATCTTTTTTGTGCAATTCATATTTTGATACTGTTTCCATTGAGTTAAAGGTATAGGTTAAGTATATTAGTTTGGAAATATTAGTTTGAACAATTTTTTTCTGTAGTATTTAGGCAAAATAAAACTTAAGTAGATCATACATTTGAGAAATATAGTTTTTCTGAATATACAAGTGAAGTAAAGAGTTTTAATCTATGAAATTCTCTAGTTTAAAAGATGATTATGAGGTCGGGAATTTTGTTCTATAACCCCATACCATTGAAAAACTGGAATTTATAATATTGCAATCAGAAAACAATCTGACATAAACTTAGGTTTGAATCAACTATCTTTAGACAATTCTTGAAGTATATTATGTAAAGTTCTTCATATTAGTTTTTAAAGTAACTATTATTAATTGAAAAAAAATTAAGTCAACATGAGTTTAAAAATTTTACCATTATGTATCATAGAAGAGTATGAACTTCTTTGATATTAAAGTTCTTCATATTAGTTTTTAAAGTATATTATTACAAAAGTTAAAGATATTTAACTTTTTGTAATTCAATGTGCAATTGAGTCTATTGAAAAAGAAAAAATTTAGTTCTTGGTTTATAATTTTTTGTTAATATTTCAGGCTCAAAGTTTTAACTTGAATCTTTTCCAAAAAATATATCACTTGATTCTCTCAAATTTTGATAGTTTTTGATATTCTTGATTGATATTGAAACAAAGAAGCATTCTCACTAGATTTCACATAACTATATACATCAATAATCTCAACAATGTTACTAACATAAAACGCACACAATCCTACACTCAGACATCTAATTTGTGTCACATAGAAATTTTGTTAATTCTCTTATATGACAAACTTATTTAACACATCATGGTCAAACTAACTAAAATTAAATTATATGTGACTTAACTTCTTACATACACAGTGAAACATTATCACAAAAATCACATCTTAGACTTAACTTCTTAAATTATATCTAGTCATCAAATATCTTGTCATGAACAGGTCAAAAACATTTCAACATGTTGAATGTGATATAGATTTTAATCACATGAGAATAAAGCAATAATCACACAAGAAAAATAAAGATGTGGAATGATATAGAAAAATAAGATGCAAGTTTGAAACTATAGGTAAAATTATGTATATAAATAAAACTAATCTAGCGCATGACGTAGTTAAAATGTACATAATTACTTTAGACTTGTGAGAACTTCAATATTGATACTCTATGATAAGACAATGAGGAGTATCGTGTATTTGATGGTGTATATTCAATTAATATTGCTATAACTTTAGGTAAAGTGAGCGACTGTTTTATAAATAGTCCCACATTAAGCCGCTGTATATGTTGAATTATGTCATGAGGTCTAAAATTTGCAATTTGCTAGCATATTATTCAACCAGCAGTGGAGGACAGTCAGGAGTGAAGTGCGACAGTTGGATTTCATCCAATGCAACTGTACAATTTACTGATAGTTTGTAAGTCTCGTGCGTACTGATCTGCTTAGACTCTGAAATGTGATGTGGTGCCTTCGACATGTCCTCCGCTGGAGAGAAGGGCAAGCGCATCTCACCGGGGGCCTGTAACTTTCGCTTACAAGTGAGTGGCAAGTGTTGAAAGGTGCTGGCAGAGCCATCTGTTCTCAGCCAGGATGCGCCCTGAGGTCCCAACCATACTGTACTAGATTTCCCAGTATCATTGTGGACTGACTAAGATGGGCCTCAAGCCTTATTCATTATACGGAGATGAACAGACAGGTGTGGCATGTTACGGTGGTCGTGATTTCATAAATCTCGTTCGAAAAATCGTCATGTTTTATATAGCTCTTACTCTCCGGTAGAACTTGGAGTAAGGACTGAAGAGCGTTGTAAACCTGCAAAAACCTTTTTCTTTTCCCCGCAAAGGTTAGGATTCTAGGTTCAGATCTGATGATCTAATGAAGTAACAGCAAAAGTAGGAGCACACAAGGATCGACAAACAAGTGGCTCATCTCTCATCTTAAGACGATTCGGTCAGCTGTCTCGCCATGTTTGAGTCACTCCACTTGGAAGCTTTCAGAAGCTCTGTGTTGAGTTGCCAGTGAGTGTGTTGGACCAGGTGGTATACCAACGTCTAAACTGGACCACTGGTCCAAAGATTGATGACAATTTATGGTAAACACACGCAGACGTGTTTACAGACACAGTCTGACCCATCCGCTGGGAAACAACTGGAATCTGACGTTGTTCAGAAGGTGGACATTTCAGGGGATGCCACTCCAACATATGCATACTCTCCTGATCAGTTTTTTGGGGCCCTCCTAGAGACCCGAGCCAGATAAGGTCCATTGTTTGAGAATCTTCTACGACATTGTTGAAAGTTCTTCACAATCTCTTGACGGCGGGTGGAAACAGACCATCTAATAAATTAGAATACAATAAAGTACACTTCTCTTCGTCCAGAACTCGATTATCTAAAAACCGTATCAGACAGAGCAGAAACCTGGAATTCTATCTGACTTAAAAATCCGCTACCCACCACAGCAGCTTCGAAACGGAGACTTAACAAGCCATCTTGTCCACACCCCAAGAAAGAACTGAAGTTCAGAACGTAGTTCATTTACAAAAAGCTTGTGGCAGCTGGTCCACCTACAAAATTGATGAGAAACACATCAGTAACTATGGCATTCACGATAGTACTGCAACTCGACATCTTCTGGTGCTACTAGAAGCCAGTAACCTTCCCGATTTCTAAGAGTAACAAGATACCGCACTGACTACAGAGGAGCTCCTGTATTCACATCGGATAATGAGTAGAGTGTTCTCCACAAACTTTACATAGTGAGCACATTACGCTTCCTCAGAATCTGAATTGCCAGACGCCTGCCGAGATCGAAAGCTGCTGAGCACATGGTCTACTCTCGCATTGCTGGCAGTCGGGCAGAACATCAAATTCGTCCCGGACAACGACTTACAGAGTTGCAGGTCTTAGACATTTTCGTAACTTGATGTACAACGGGCGGTGCATCTGAAGGGCAGGTCGATGCCATACATTGGTTTCAACATTAGCAGGATTGATTGGCCGGTCTAGGAGACGATCATTCCACGGGTAATGCCGGGCTCGGCACAACCTTGATAACATTACGGAGGAGTTGATGTCAGCGCATCATCTCTCCGCTCGCTCTCTGGCAGGGTCGACATGCTCCCAAGCCCCACGACTTGTGCCCTCCGGCGCAATCTGCTCCGATGACGTCCAACCGAGAGGCACCGTGCATGGCTCGTCATAAGCCCGCCCACGACGGAAGAGTTTGTAGATTTGAGAGTTCGCCACGAGTTCACGAAGGTGATGGAGATCTTTAGGGTAAATTCGCAACCTTCTCAAAAGCACAACGAAACAATCAAAGTATGACGAAAAGCACGGCGGCCGTCGGTCCCATGCAGGTAGAATGGAGTGAGCGGAGTGTAATTCCTCCGGCAAACGGAGGTTGCGATCCTTCTTCAGCGGTTGAGGGGCTTCTTGAAGGCCACGATGTGACTGGGCACCATGTACGCGGGGACGGACTCGGAAATCGTGACGGATTCCATTCCTAAATCTCGCAGCTTCACCTCGTACTCCGGACCATGAAACAAGTCCCAGAGAACAGCTTGGCCTCCCGGCTTCAGAACGCGTATAATTTCCTGCAACCCTTTCAATCGTTCTTTGGCCGCTTTGGCGGTCGAGCGGCCGTGTTCTTCGCCGAGGTTGTTCAAACATAAGGCAGACACGACGGCATCGAAATACTGGTCGCTGAATGGGAGATTGCGGGCATCTCCGCTCTTACAAGTGACGTACTCCTGAGTCTGTTCCAGCTTGCTCGTATTGAGCGTGGATGCCATTGACTTGCGGGTTCCCTTGCCATTCAGCCAGAGATCTACACCCACTACTCGACCACCACCTCCTTCCTTCTTTAATCTCAGCGCAACGGTGTTCAGCAGATGCCCTCGGCCACAACCTACATCCAGGACGGAATCCACCTTGGACCAATCCTCTACCATCCCAACCATGCGACGAGCCATCTTGTGGCGTAGAACCACGTTTGTGTAGAGAATATTTGCGGCTGTGATGATGAAGCAGAGGGCCATCAAAGCCATCATGCCCATCGCAAATCCGATGAAGAAGCCCCATGCTTGCAGAGGCACAAATTTCACTGTTTCCGCCAACGCCCTCGTGCATGTAGAGAAGTAAAAGTACAACAACCCCACTCCAACACCCAGCGCGGTGGCCTGCCACACGAGTCCCGCCACAGGCCCCGCTTCCTGTACTCCATAAATCTCATAAATTTTCAACCATCCTCTCTTGCCTGCCCTCCCCATGTTCGTTTGTTTCGCACCTTCCCGGGCAGGAATCGTCCCCTCAGATTTCGAAGCACACCTCCTCTCAATCTATCAATCAATCAATCAATCACTTACTCACGGCTCCGAGGACAACCTGCTGGCAGATCTATCGAGAGAAGTCCAGCCCTTTTGTCTACAAAATGTCTTCTTTCCTACTCGAGACAGAACTCATCGAATACAATTTTCAGTATAGCATCAAATTTCGCCTACAAGACAGACAGCCAAACGAGCAACCAACCCAACCTCTCACCCTCCGTCAGAGAATTTCTCTCACGGCGGACCCTAAATCATCCACAACTCTTCGGCACCATTTGGCCCACCTTGCCACATGCGAAATATGACGGCCTTGTCTCCAAGTCGCTCAAATCTTCCCACACCAGAGACTCTATGTACCGCCTCAGCTCTCTATCTGCCTATCCTTTTTCTCCGAGACACACAATCGGGCACCGAATTGCTGCTCTGCAATTTGAGTACAACCTACTCGCCTCAAGATCGTCGCAAATGTAAATACGTACTACTCTCACTCTCATCAACAGCCAACTCCAATCTCCCAACTTCCTCGGACATGTAGCCCAACTACAACGTATACTTCTGCACTATGACTATTGCAAGGGAACAGTTTAGACTTGCTAGATGCTGCCCATCTCCATGGCCCAAGGTCACAGAGTAAATCTACTTGTTGCCGGAATCTGTGGTAATCAACGCGGGAAACATGAGCATAGCTACAAGGTCTAAGGTAGACACTAATGACCTGAATCAGTGGTGGACAAATCCGTCCAGTACAAATTCACAGAGGACAACGCTGCTGAAAAAGACACAGAGAGAGAGAGGGAGAGAGTAAAGGCCAGTCGTATTGAAGTGTGTTCATCAGAACAGATCGTATTGAGCATCCACCTCGAATCTTCTCAGAATCTTGCCAAAGCTTACCACATGGGCCATCCTCCCACTTCTATTGCCCTTTTACCTCACCACTTCCCATCCATGGAATTGGACGCTGACCGAGGTCGTCAATTTGGAAATTGATCATGTTCAAATCGTCATTCTCATTGTTTCCGAACCGACAGATCCTCAACTGGGTTTTTTGTGAGATTTTTACACACAAGCTGCAATAATCTATATACAGATTTGGCTGACATAAAAGCTACGTATCTAATTTAATCTACAGGCATCCATATCTTCCGTGGTCTGGATGTGTTCACCTAATTTTTTCTATTTCACTCTCTTACAATCAGACAAGTTCTTGATCTTCATCTAATCAAGTAGGGAGGTCAACAAGAATGCATACGAAAGTCAATGCAAAATAGGGTTCACAACCAATTCATTTGCATCTCATCGTCACACATCAAAGTTGTCAGCATAGAAAAGGAGACACATTGAGGGACATATGTCACAATAATAATCTATACAGAGAAACTAGTATTTATATATTTGTGCAGCTTATCATAGGATGGAAATTACTCCATCTTAAGTGGAGTATCCAAGTGAAGTGAGGGGTACGGTTGTATATTGTTTGTTGTTTTTGTTTCCTACATACAATCATCTCCACGAACATTTACATTGCCTGGGAAATTATTGCATGTACTGATCTTAAATGCTTCGAGGCATGTCAGAATGCTCTGATTTTTGTGCACAACCTTTGCTGTACAAGAAGAGCAGGTAATGTTGGACATGACCGTCGAACAATAACTTTTGTGTTCTCACACGTTTCTCCGAGAGCTACTATTGTACCTCCTCACCACGAGTGAACGAAGCACGTCTTCTCAATGAATTAGCCGGTGGCTTAGAGATGCCAACGAAGCGAATGTGGTGCGGTACGATGATATTCTGGTTCCAGAATCTACGAGCGCGCAGTTGTGGCCGGTCCTACCAATCTGCAACCGCAGTTCTAGCCGTGGTTGACATTTCGCCTTCCAAGTGTGCTCCGGAACCAGTTAAAAGTTCTCCCATGCTACCGCTCCAGGACAGTACCGTGGTCACATGTCGTCAACAGTAGATCACATTCAGCAGGGTCGGGATTCCTGACTGTGGTACAGTCAGAATATGCTTAGATTACGAAGATAATTTCAGGTGCTGCAGCGTAGCAAAAATTCAAACACTCGCACCCCCAAACTACATCGGACTTGATCAGACCCCGCCGCGCTATCTGCACGGCTGAGGCAGTTACGTGGCCCTGGCGAGCACGGGATGCTCTTGTGGACTCATTGCAAACAACACGGTCGTTACCGGATTATCTAACGAGATCGTTGCAGCGCCGAGCTACTGAATTGAGTTGTTGTCCGAGGCGATGACGCATCCGGGAGCAAAAACTTGGACAGCGAGCCACGAATGAGCAGTGGTGATGACAGACTCCGCAGTGATCTTTGTTGGTAACATATCACGCCTTCTCTAGTAAGAGTTACAGCCCGCAGGACATGGTTCGAGATCACAGGCCTTTGATGAAGAATTATCTGGCTTATTGTTAAATCAAAACATGACACGGATTCGATTCCCTGTTCTGACGCAGGATTTCAGGTCAACTTGAGGACATTTCTGCAGAGAACGTTCCAGTAAGTGGAGAAGCAGACGGCGTTGACTGGACTCGATCATGGACTTGTACCGATGTACTGCAAGGAAAAAATTTAGTAGTAGAAAGTGGACCGGAGTGGTGTATCATATATATATATATATATATATATATGACACATGGGATGTGATTGCAGCTAAAAAATGTTTTTGTTCAGCATTAATACACTGTATGGTCATAGTATATAGTAACAAAATTTGACTATCACGTTACTTTATTTTGTACTTTCTAGGAATTCTACTTAAACGTAGCATGATATCTTTGTTGAAACTGGGAAATGATCATTAAACAATCGATGTATATGGACCGCATTTTGCAGGAAAAAAGCGGCCAATAACAGAAATGAGAATGGACGTGCACTGGAAAAATTATCTCCAGGAAATAATCAACTTTACATTTAAAAAAAATTCTAAATTGGTGGAAGGGCATGAGATGCTTGTGCATTCTTCAGTAAATGAAAGACATAAAATATTACTGTACCGACCATAATGTATTATTGTTGAATGTATATCTCCCCGATCATGGGAGTAAATATGAAAATTTCTATTATATTTTTGAATTCTTGATTTCACTGATTTGTAAATATAAACATTATTCCCAAAAATGAACTCTACACAATCTATCCCGCCTTGTACTTGGATATGAAAGATGAAAGATTCGTACCTGTACTTGTAGATGTAATTTTTGTATGTCTTGGTGATGATTTGAGCCAAGACTTGCGTGTATGGATATTCAAGGCGTTAATAGGTTGAAGGAGTTGCGTGAGTGTCTTGTTTGGCATGGTCGTGGCAAATATAATTGATTGAGGATTGAGAGCACTTTATAAGGGATGGGGTTGAGACGGTGAATGCATATGAGAGATATGGCGAGTTGAGGTTTGTAGTTGATTGTTTGGACATGGGGGAGTGTTAGATATGTGAGTGATGTGGACACGAGCAAGGTTATCTTCAAACCTAATGGTTTTCCTTGAGGTTGACAATTACTACTTCATGCCAAAGCACTAGACCCTATTTTTTTTAAAAGACGAATTCATTTGAATCAAACATAATTTCGAGGTTCACATACTCAATCGTCGCATAAAGAGATTCACGTGACCTACTTGCATGGACAAAATAGCATACGTACGAGAGTAACTTTTTCCAGAGTATAGAAAGGTCAAACTTTTCACGAATTAAAATAATACTCTCATGGGATCTCACAGGGCTGAATAAACTTTGTTATTAATACAGAACGAAACAATATATTTACGTTTACTGCAGATGAAATACCGCACCTTACAGCGTGTCGGAGAAACATTATTCGACTACCAAATACGCCTTACTAATGTCACGAGCACGGCAAACATCTGCTTCGGTGTACGTGCTGTAGACAGTCTCCCTCTCGCAATGCCGACCACGTGGGACTGGACGAACGACCGACGAGGGCTGGCTTCCATCCATCCAGGCCAACGAGGCAAGCGGTGACGGAATCGGAAGAACTCGACGTCGTCGTTTGGGGTGACTCGAGACCTCGTCACCGCTGCGACCCTGCCACGTGTCACGCGCGAGCAGATGAGCGCACCTGCGGTCCCATGCACGTCGCGACGTTGTCGTGAAGGTCGCGCTTCTCCGGCTCCGAGACTCGCAGCCGAATTACCTTCATGCTTTTCGGAAGGGCAGAGGTTTCCTTCTCGTCGTCTTCTCGATTCGGCGCATCTCTGATTCTCCGGGGATTTGGATCGTTCAGCACAAAATTGGGACTGCAGTGCGTGATTCACCCCGTACTGCGAGATGATAGCCTGTCGTTCTCGCCCCTCGTCTCCGAAGACATGTACAGCTCCCTGGCAGTTCCAAGTTCCTTCCAGAATCTAATGCGGCACGTTTATCGACTGCACGAGCGCTTGGTCTGATGTAATGTGAACTCCCGTTCTATATCTGTGGAAAAATATGTGATTTTCGTTGTGAAATCGACATTTAAAAGTCCTTCTGGGATTTTATTGACTGCCAGCATTACTTGTTTTAGAATACCTGTTGTTAAACTTCACCCTCTCTATAGCGGAACTGTACCATTAACTTCGGTATTCACAAGAGGCCTCCGTGAAACATGAAGTGCATACTGCCAAATCTTGAAATCGAAGAACTCCTTAGATGTAAACGATGAGCCCCTCCAGGTTGCTATCGATGTCATACCTCCTTAGAGGACCTGTGATGTCATGTGGGAGATCGTGGTGTTACAAGCCCTTAATGCAAATGTTACACAACTCGATATCATTACTATTTGGCGACCCAGAATGACTGCACTCATGCTGTAGAATCCGAAATTCGCAGAGAAAAATTCAAACTACTTGCATCAATGTATCGGAGTTTACTAAGTCGTGTTGAGCCAGAAGCAAATACCAGCTTCCGTCAGAAATGCATGTCTTAGATGTAAGTAGGCTTAATTCAATTCCATTCTCATTGTTGGACACACCCTTTATTTAGATCTTGAAAACTTAGTGTGAAAAGCCTTCTAGAATTGTCTAAACTCATAACTTACAATTGTAGTTGTGAGTGTTGCAAAATTATGACTTTTTATATTGATTATTTTGGTCAGACTAAAACTACTCAAGATTAAATGGAAATTGGCTCATGAGTTTTTTTTTTAACTTTTATTTTTTCTCCGTAATTCGCTGTACTTCTATTGCTCTTGAAATCCAAATATGTTAAACCAAACATATCATTTATTTAAGAGTATTGATGAGTTCCAAAGAGCACAAAATGTTTCAAAGAGTATGTACAAGTATGGTTACAGTATTCGGTTCTTTTAATTACCTACATTAGCTTTATTTAGTAGCATCAAGTATTCGGTTCTTTTAATTACCTAAATTAGCTTTATTTAGTAGCATCAAGAAAGTTAATTTATGCGCTTTGGTGCTCAAAGTCGCGTTGAGTACATTGAGAGGTAGTGAGGGGAGAGGGAGAGATAGAGTTGCTATCATCAAGGCTTGCAGTTGGGATGTGAATATCTCGAACAAGAGAAAATTTAATCTACAAACTTCGGAGTACAACTCGATGAACTATGAAACGGACGTGATAACAAGTTGGTTCACGGTGGAAATCTACCACGCTTCAATTTTGAGCCATTTAGAGATTAGATGCTTTGATTAATTTAGCCGCTAGAGGTAGCACCACTTTAGATAATTTAGTCACAATATAAATCATCGTCTAAATTAATCACGCCTCAATATGTATGATACTTGTGTATACATGCAAAAAGATGAATAAAAAAATCTT